ATATTTGTCCCTTATTGGTCCGTTGAATGAGATCAAAGTGAGTGATGTCATCTGCTGTGGGACTGCATTGTACAAGTGTGAAATTTGGTGCTGGGATGTGACGTCCAACATCCTAAGTTTACAAGTTTCTAGTCCTTTTGACTGCAAAGGGTGTGTGGCCAGTCTCAGAAGCCAGGCGTAGGGGCTAAACAGCGATTGCTTATACTTCCCTCTCATTATTGTACAATATGGAATTTTATAGATGGTTTCTATGAGGATACTCTGCTGTGAGCGTGCCTTGATTTCATCCCATTATACTGATAATAAAATAATAGATTTCCAGGCACATTGTGGTGTGCTTTGAAATAAGATTATGGGCCTCTGTTGTATTGACTTTGCTGCTATTCCTCTGCTTTTTAATTTCCCAGACAAATGAGTAAGGATTGTGTCTTTTCTTGGATCATGGTCTACTGTTTTCTAAGCACTTGGTTTGTTTCATGTGGTTGATGTGTAGAGTACATAGGGTCTTGGTAGACCTGGTCTCTTCCAAGGCTCCTTGTGTTTCCAGAGTATTATCAAACTCATTTTGTTCCTGAGGATCTGTTGCAGCCATGGTAGATATACTCCTTTCTTTTGACTCTTTCTGAAGCTGATGCAGAGTTTGTGCAAAGTTCTCAATTTTCTGGAACAGTAAAACTCTAAACAACTTCTAAAATTTTAGGGCAGTGAGGATTTCTATAAATTGTTGGTAAACTCAACCAAATTTCCCTTTCCCCACCCACCTACCTGCCATGGTCTCCCATTGGCCTGATTCATGTCCTTTAAAAAAGCTGTTGAAGTGGTTGTAGCAGAAAATAACTTATCGGTGGCTTATCTGTGTTTCCCCCATAATGAGTGTAGCTTGAGTTACCGTGTGGATTGGCCTTTTTATAAGGAGATCTCCATGCCTCCCCCACTACCTTCCTAGGTGTTGGTGTTGTTGCTGCTGTTGAATCCTTCCGATACGTTGGTTAAGCCATTTAATTTCAATGCATTTTCCATGGAAATACTCAGTTCCATGGACCCCATTTCTGGCAGCAACATGTTGCTCATGCAACACATGAGATATGCATTGCCTATGTGTGACCAAGCGTTCTGCTTTTCCAAGGTGTCCAGTCACACAGACTAAATCTGTGCAAGTTCAGGAACCAGAGTCAGGACGGCACAGCCTTTCTGTGATTTCTGAAGGGGAGAAAGTACACAGTTTTCTGCTGCCACACACACACACAAGGAGCTGGGCCTGGCGCAGCCATTGGGTGAGGTGAGGCCACCACCTCAGGTGAAGGAAGCCCCTGAGATGGTGTCCCCATGGGTGCTGCCTCTGCTGCCAGCATAGAAGCAGTGCCAACACTGGGCGAGATCTTGCTGATTTTTGGCAAGATCTCACCAAAAGCCGTGTGAGATCTTGCAGAGCGTTTGAGATCTTGCTGGAAATTTGAAATATACTCAGAGTCGCAAAGTGATTCCATGCTCTTTATTCAGCTCATAGTGGTGAGGAGGAATGAATGAAAGTCCCCTCAAAGTATCTGCTTTATATACATTATTTACACAATGGGCTGCACATGATTGGCTAATTCTGGAATTCTACTGTGAGCCAATCAGGTTGTGGATTCACTTATATCTGGAGCATGATTGGGTGGTTCCTGCCAACCAATCCTACTGCTGCATTGTTCTAGGACCAATCAGACTGCTGCATTCTGAATCCTATTGTTCTAGGACCAATCAGACTGCTGCAATTTGGATCCTATTGTTCTAGGACCAATCAGACTGCTGCAGTTTGGATCCTATTCAACTCAGTACATAACAAAATTGGTGCGATCTCACCCACAATTGAGGCCAGTTCTACTTCTCCACCAGCACTGGGTTGGTAGGACTGGCAGAGGTAGTAGAATGGTAAGGTAAAGGTAAAGGGACCCCTGACCATTAGGTCCAGTCGTGGCCGACTCTGGGGTTGCAGCGCTCATCTCGCTTTATTGGCCGAGGGAGCCGGCATACAACTTCCGGGTCATGTGGCCAGCATGACTATGCCGCTTCTGGCGAACCAGAGCAGCGCATGGAAATGCCGTTTACCTTTCCGCCGGAGCAGTACCTATTTATCTACTTGCACTTTGAGGTGCTTTCGAACTGCTAGGTGGGCAGGAGCAGGGACCGAGCAATGGGAGCTCACCCCATCGCGGGGATTCGAACCGCCAACCTTCTGATTGGCAAGTTCTAGGCTCTGTGGTTTAACCCACAGCCCCACCCACATCCCAAGCCAGCAGAATGGTAGGGCAGCACTTTTCACTTCAAGCAGTGAAACGGGGCATGCTGCCCTTGCAAGGAGCTCAGGTAAATCTGATGTATTGTATGAGAAGGAGACCTAATTCACAGCTGTTGACCTTAATCTTAACCCAATTCACCAGGTCTTAATGGTCAAGTGGATCAGGTTGAAGTTATACTAAGTAGCTATTATTATTTTGTGACATGATGTTTCTTCTTCTGAATGCTCCAGCATATGGCTCCATTGATGTTCTGCATTTCCTGGCTGAGCCCACATTTTTTAAAAAGAGACTGTGCATTTAAACTATTTTCATATTGGTTTTCTCTTTTTCTGAAGTGCCGTGTATGTCTTGGCCAAGAATTGCCTTTCAAAGGAAACCAAACAGTAAATCAAATACAACCAATTTGGTTAGGATGCATTCTGTAAGGAACCACCTTTAGCTGTCTTCTCTTAATGGGTCTGCAAAATCTTATAATGATCCATTGGGATTTGGATCTGAAATGTACTATTGACATAGTCCTACCAAGGGATAATTTTTTTTAAATAAACCGTTTAAAATCCATCTGCACTTCTTATAAGTGCTTGTATTAATATATATATTTAAAAACCTTAAAACCTGCTGACCAGTTCATTGGGGGCACCGCCTTAATCAATCAAAATGTTTTAGATTGATTATTCTGACATTAATCAAATAGTCGCTGAACCACGTACTAAATCTTCTCTCTCTCTAAGCTTCAAGTAGTACATATGGATGTACACACTGTAAAAGCAGGCTCCATGGAAACAAAAGAAAATGGAGTGTTGCCTGTATGCGTGAGTTAAAACAGGTCAGAAGCGCATGTGCTTATTGTTATAATCACACTATGGAAAAATAGTGTGTTTTTCCTAGATAATATTCCAATCCCATTATTTTCAGTGGGGTTCATGTGCACCCAGCTAAGAAAGCAAATAGCTTTTTTGGGTTTTTTTGAGTGAGAGAGAGAAAATTGTTCTTGAAGAAAGGCCATTTTTAATTAAAATTGCCCCCCAACCAGTGTCCATTTCAGAAAAGAAATAGGCGTTTGCAGTTAACTAAGATATTTGGTAGGCAGGGAATGACCTGAACAAGATTGGATTGTTTCAGGGTGAGCACACCTGGTGTGTATGAGAATTTCCAGCTTGCTGATTCCACCTGTTGGAAGGTCAGCTTCCTACTCTCCCAAGCACTTTGGAATCCAATCCCCTTCCTGCTGGTTGAAAAGAGCTACCAAGTATTTTGCTTCTCCTCAACCTGCAGGGTGGTCATGTGTCCTGCTTTACAGAGGACGGTCATCCATTTGAACGGGGGATAAAGCTATCCATGGCAGCTGTAGCTCCAGTGATCCTCCTAATTCCAGTGTGAAAGGCAGTACAGTGGTACCTCGGGTTAAGTACTTAATTCGTTCCGGAGGTCCGTTCTTAACCTGAAACTGTTCTTAACCTGAAGCACCACTTTAGCTAATGGGGCCTCCTGCTGCTGCCGCGCTGCCGGAGCACGATTTCTGTTCTCATCCTGAAGCAAAGTTCTTAACCCGGGGTACTATTTCTGGGTTAGCAGAGTCTGTAACCTGAAGCTTTTGTAACCTGAAGCGTATGTTACCCGAGGTACCATTGTATGGGAATTGTAAGTGGAAAGAGTGCTTCTGCTCTCAGGTCCTGCTTCTTAGTTCCTCATAGGTATCTGGTTGGCCATTCTGAGGATGCCGGCTTAGATGGGCCTTTGGTTTGATCCAGAAAGGTTCTTCTTAGGTTCTTCATGGAGTCGTCTGTTTGAAGGCCTGCCCTGTCCAAGCCCAGTTTAAAGATTTGTTGTTGTTGTTGTTGTTTAGTCATTTAGTCATGTCCGACTCTTCGTGACCCCATGGACCAGAGCACACCAGGCACTCCTGTCTTCCACCGCCTCCCGCAGTTTGGTCAGGCTCATGTTTGTAGCTTCAAGAACACTGTCCAACCATCTTGTCCTCTGTCGTCCCCTTCTCCTTGTGCCCTCCATCTTTCCCAACATCAGGGTCTTTTCCAGGGAGTCTTCTCTTCTCATGAGGTGGCCAAAGTATTGGAGCCTCAACTTCACGTTTAAAGATAAAGACCCCCTAAGAAGGGAGAGCAGCAAGGAGCCTTGATGTTGCCCATCAACAGTTAGGCTCTGAAGAGAGCAGGCACACCAGGTGCAAGGCTGAGATATATCCTCTTTCTGCTACAGTCATTGTTTCTGAAGTGTTAGCGTATGCAACATTTCATGCAGATCTGTGTCCTTTGGTGACATCGCCTCCTTTTTGACAGTGCATAATTGGCTACTCTATATACCCAACCCAACCCTTTCAGTGGTGTCCAAACTTTTTTCAAAGAGGGTCAGATTTGATGAAATGAAAGGCTGTGAGGGCTGACCAAAGAGCCGACCAAAATTGTTGAACATTTTTTAGGATTGAAGTTCTTGAGGTTTTTTTAGGATTTTACCCCAGGAAATAAACTGCCTTAGGGACCGGCAGGCCAAATTAGGCCCCCAAAACGGACTTTGGACATGCCTGCCTTATGTAGCTTTGTGCAGAGAAAGGAGCTTGGCAAGTCTGGATTTAGAGAGAGGCTGGCTGAAATTCCTTACCTGCATAGGAAACTGCCTAATGCCAAGTCAGACCATTGGTCCATCTAGTTCAGTATTGTCTACACTGATACACAGTTGCTCTCAGAAAGGGTTCCTTCCCAGTCTGGTGCTAGTAGCTCAGTGGTAGAGCATCTGCTTTGCATTAAGAAGGTCCCAAGTTCAATCCCTGGCATTTCCAGGTAGAGTTGCAAATGTCCCAGGTCTGTAAGCAAGGAGAACCCCTACTTGGAGATACAGTGGTACCTTGGTTTACAAACTTAATCCGTTCCAGAAGTCCATTCTTAAATCAAAGCGTTCTTAAACCAAGGTGTGCTTTCCCATAGCAGCAGGGGACTCAATTTACAAATGGAACACACTCAACAGGAAGCGGAACATGTTCTGCTTCCAAGGCAAAGTTCACAAACCAAAACACCTACTTCCGGGTTTGCAGCGTTCTATTTCCAAGTTGTTCATAAACTAAGCTGTTCTTAAACCAAGGTACCACTGTACTGGAGATTGGACCTTCTGCCTGCAGTGCATGCAGCCAAGCATGAACCAAGGCTAAGATTGGGTAAATACCATATTTTTCCGTGTATAAGACTAGGTTTTTTAACCAGAAAATTAGGTTTGAAATTGGGGCTCGTCTTATACACAGGTAGTGTTGAGGGGTGTTCTCTTAATTTGGAGTCCCCCAAAATAGGGGGCGTCTTATACACGAAAAAATATGGTATATCAATTTCTTTCTCATTTTCTCCAACCTTCAGTTCTCCATATTAGTTCACAATTTTAAAAAAGGTCACCCTGAGATTTCCCCCCAAATTTTCATGCACCTTTTTTGTATACAATTCAGCCCAATATATGCATATTATTGTAATGTAATAGAGTTTTTTGTGTTTTATTTTCACTACTACATACATTTTTATGGACACTTTCCTCTAATATAGGCATTTTTGCTTATTTTTGGAGAACTGCATCACAAAATTTGGTGAAGTGCACATTTGCAAGGATGGCTGTTTCCAAGGATAGCGGTTTCTGGAAGTGCAAGTTAAGTATTTTCACACTGAAATGTACGGAACTGAATTATCCTCCATCCCTAGCCAAGGCTGCCCTTCATTAGGACCTCTGACCTACCATTGACTCCCATACCGTCCTCAGACTGCTCTGCCTATATCAACTCATGCCTGTTCCCCCTCCCATCACACGATTCAAGTCCTGAATAGCAACATGGGTAGCAGCTTGCTCTTCCAAGTCGAACATACAGCTTCTAATTGAACAGAAGATGTCCATCTGCCCTGAACCACCTGGGGCACTCAGTCGCAACTGTGTCTGTTGAGCTCTTAAATGATAGCCCTGATATATTTGTGTGCATTTCTGTGCCTACTGATGCAGTCACTGGGCTCCAAGAATAACTTAATGCGTAGCACAAGGTCAGAATTTTGCCTTTAGGATCTCTCTCTATCTCTCCGTGTTGTCTGTGAGCATCATCGGGATCTAAGGGGTAGTTATTTCAGAGTCGTTCTGCTGATATAAGAAGGGGACCGTGTGGTGTCCTGGCCTTGCTGTGTGTTCAGTTTCTATCCATAAATAACAATGTGGCCAACTCCTTGTCTCGTTTTTTTTCATCCCTTCCCGAACTGGAAGGCAAAGTTCTGAAATGTGGGGCCTCCTGTACTTTGGGGAGGAGGGTGGCTCCCAGTGCAATTTAGGAGAAGAATCTGAAGTTGCATGGAGAAGGCTCCCATCTTCAGAACTTTGCTCTCCAAGTCCTGGAGGGCTGGAAGAAGAGAAAGATAGTCTTGTGTAGAGGGGTGCTGGGATTAGCAAAATGCCTCCGCTTTCCTCGCATCAAGCTCTGGGGCCAGGATGGCCTCTGTTCAAATTTGGGGTGCTTGAGGAATCCAATCTGTGTACATTTCGCAAGGAAAATGACCTGACCAGTGGCTCCTGGGCTAATGTGCAGATCCAAATGGGGTCACCCATTAAATTGGATTTGCCACCTCTTCAGTTATTGCCATGCAGTTCTTGGCTCACACAATGTATAAGAATGCATTTGACGTGCACATTGGAGAGAAAACAAGCACAGAAATGCATATGTCGTGAGAAAATGTTGGACTCAAAATTAGCATGGAATTTGTTTCTCTTTTTAATTGTAGACAAATGCAGAAACAGGAAGTAACAGGTTTGTGAGTGAACATGTGCAAAAGTAAAACAGACCAGAAATGGACTGATTCATTCATTCATAGTACAAATCTTTGCTCAGCCACAAGGTTAATCGAGGGTAGAGACACGGGTTTTATTTTTAAGAAGAATCGAAGGTGGTAGGAAAGGGGGATTGTGTATTCAGTTGAGAATTTAGCTCCCTCCTCTTTTATAGTATCCACTTCTGAGTCTCTTAAAGAGATATGCACTGCATATGTGCTGCCTGTAGATTTATTGAGACGCATGTGATTTTTGTAGTTGCGTATCAATGACTGAGCATGACCCGTTTAGGCAAGGCAATGAACCTGTGGCCCTCCTGAAGTTGCTGGGCTACAAATCCCGTCATCCCTTACCACTGTCCATGATGGGTAGGGATGATGGGCATTATAGTCCAACAACAGCATCTACAGAACCCACAAGTACCTCACTCCTGCTATACAGGTTGTGCTCAGATATAGATGCCCGGCTACAAAATTTGCACACCTCTCACCAAGACAGCACACATGTATGACGCAGTGCATGTCAATTTCAGATACTGAGAAGTGGATGTGACCTGAAAGAGGGTCAACCCTTGATTCTCCTTTGTTCATACACCTTTTAGCCCGGGAAAAGAGATTTCCGTTCTCATTTATTTTGAGCGGAAACAGTGATTTCATTGGGGGAAATAATTTTAGAGCACAATAAGAGCCTAGGACTTGCCGATCAGAAGGTAGGCGGTTCGAATCCCCACGACGGGGTGAGCTCCCATTGCTCGGTCCCTGCTCCTGCCAACCTAGCAGTTCGAAAGCAAATCATAGTGCAAGTAGATAAATAGGTACTGCTCTGGCGGGAAGGTAAACGGCGTTTCCGTGCTCTGCTCTGGTTCGCCAGAAGCGGCTTAGTCATGCTGGCCACATGACCCGGAAGCTGTACACCGGCTCCCTCGGCCAATAAAGCGAGATGAGCGCCACAACCCCAGAGTTGGTCACGACTGGACCTAATGGTCAGGGATCCCTTTACCTTTTAAGGTCTTGCTGGATCAGACCAAAGCCCTGTCTGGTCCAACATTCTGTTTCTCATAGTGGCTAGCCAGATGTCTGTGGGAAGACCACAAACAGGGCATGAAACAGCAGCTCTCTGCTGTTGGTAGTTCCATAGCAACTGGTGTTCGAGACCCTGTCCCAGGTGGAAGGTTACAGGCTCTGCCAAACAGTTCCGTGCTTTCAAACAGTGCCCACACTGGCAAAATGATTCCAGTGGAAATGGCAGACAAACACATTTCGAAGCATGTGGGATTTTATTAGAGAAGATGTTCCCACACAATTTCCAAATTACAGCAGAGCAGAGTTGGTCAGGAGGAATAGAATGAATGATGCTCAATAGCCATCCAACAGAGTCCAGAATTGGTTGACAATTCAGAGTAAAGTTTTGTTGACATTCTAGTTCAAAGCCAGGGAAGCTAAAATAACATGCCTCATTAGAAAGGGTAACAAAGGTGTGATCCTGCTATCATTTCGCCTCTCAAGGGCAGTTAAATAAATTTTAGAAGAGGAAGGGATTTGGGCAGGGCAGTCATTTGCTCAGTTTTCCAAATGGGCTGTGAGACTCTTTTGCTAAGTGTGGACATGAAATGAGACACAGTGTCAGACCATTTCTTACAGAAGAGATTCTTTTATTTGTGTGCTCATACACTCTGTCACTTGAGAAATGGAAACCGGGAGGTAACCAAAGCATTTCAGGTTTTCTCTCTGGAACAAAACAAAACAAAATTCCCATCCAGTATATTTGAATGACTTTATGTCCTTGTAAGATGATTCCATCTTACAAGGCCACAAATATCGGCTGTTCCACCCTGAAGACTCTTCCTACATTCCTTGGTGATTCATGAGGCTTAAATGCTTTGACTTGTGTTACCATCTGTGTAGATCCCTTTGATACTCCCCTCCCAAAAAAAATTAACTGAGCCAAGCCATAAAAGGTTGATCTACTTGGTGTGTGAATGTGCTTCTGCCTCTCTTATCTGTTGATTCCACCCTCCATTTGTTGAGTTACTCTGGCCATAGTTTGATATGATATCCAAACTGGGCGAGGTGTGGTCAGTGCTAGCCTCCAAACCGTGGTTTAAAACCATAGTTCAAAGTTGAGTTGCAAACCACAGTTTAGAAGTTAGCGCTAACCATAGGTGCCTCATTTGAGCATCATGATAAACTATGGTTAGAAGAACCAGGGAACACAGTAAGAAACTAGTATGTGGCAAGAGGAGCAAACTTATTTCTGGTCCTCTGGGTGGTTTGGAGGATTCTCCTAATTGAGCTGTGGAATCATACAAGTGGAGAAGAGCAGTGTGTTCAAAACCTGCATCTTTGGAATTGCAGTATATTTCTCTGATGATCTGGAAAGCTCAGTTGAGTGGTCTTGTCACTATGAAGAATTGGACTCTCTCCAAGGTTAGGCAAAAATCCATGTAAGCCTTTTTTTTCTTCCCTTTGTCAGAAACCGATGAAGTGTTCATGAGCACAGGCAGCTCAGTAACACGAAAAAAGCAATGGGTTTGATCCTGTGGCACATGTGTAGATTTTATCCAGTGGAATCAATGTGACTTAAGGTAGTCAAGGCTCTACTTTAACTATGGCTTTAACTATGCAAGTGTAACCCCAACTTGTCTGCTAGTAAGCCTCAATGAATTCAGTAGGACTTACTTCTGAATTAGATATGATTGGGATTCCAACGTTATTCCTACTCAGAGTTGACACACTGAAATTCTTATTATTTTTTATTATAAATATATATTGGTCATTTTGGGTGTGTGTTTTTTAAAAAAACCTCAACGCAACTTACATTAAAAACAAAAATGAAAACAGCCTAAGATACACAAGTAATAGAAAACTAGATCCAACTCTGTCCTGGCCCACTAAAAATTAAGAATTAAGGTCCAAAGGCCTGGAGGAATGAACATGTTTTTACCTGGTGGGTGGAAACAGATAGCAATAGCATCAGGTGTGCCTCCTGGCAGAGAGCATC